CGGGCACTTTGTAAACCAGAGTGGTTTTAGGTGGTTGGTGCCCCCTCCCCCTTCTCGTCCCAGCTGCTGTGACCTCCTCTGACTGGGACCTCTGCCAGACGGGTGCCGGTGGATCCAAACCAAAGCCTTACCTGCCTGCAGAATGTCAGAATAAGAGCACATCTGTGTTATGCAAATCTATTTTTTTTTCAAAGCCCTCAAGTGATCCCTTCCACCATCTTGGCTAGATGCTTGACTGTTTGAAGTTAACTGATATCCAGTTATCGCTGCCCTATCTACTCCTCGGTGTGTTGCATGCGGGGGATGGTAATCCATTCTTCCCATATGTTAGATAGTGACGGCGGGATTAGGCGGACCCTGCAAGAGGATTAAGGCTTCAGGGTTTGGGTCCCCTTCTATCTGGCCTGCTCTCTAACCATCCCACCCCCTCCACCTGCTTCTTGCCGTCTCCTCGTGCTGTTCAGCTCCTCTCCCACCCTTCTTCCGTCTCCCTTTCCTCCCCCGGGCAAGTATCCAATCTCTGGAGTGTTTTTAGCTGTTGAATAAGGAGGTAGAGGGCAGATTATCAGACAGGTCATTTCTTATTTAATTTTGTACAGTAATGGAAATGTGCGCCGCTTGTGTGAGTTATTTTCTTTACTTAGTGATGTTTTATAGATGTGACTCAGGTGGTGAAATAAAAGGATGGAGAATTTGTCCATTTGCTGCTCCTCTTCCTCCTCGTCACCTCTCTCCATCTCAATTTCTTCTCCTCCTCCTGCTTCTTTTCCTCCAGTGTTGAGGGCTGTAATTGATATGCCAACGGCAATAAATCAGCCCGGCTTTACGGTGGGAACGTTATCTGAACAGACAGGTTCAGCCTCTTTGGAGAGGAGGCTGAGAGTGCAAGTTAGCCAGCTCAGCTCCACTAATGGCTTACCTCTTCCTCAGCCTCTGGATTCTTAACTACATGCAACCACCTCACCTGTCTTAAAAAATGACTCTCAATTTATTTTACAGTTTCCAATTCCTACTGGAATGGTTTCCAGTCCTGTCAGTTGATGGGATGTGCCGATATAAAATCCAATCATCTCGCCTCTTTTTTTTTTTTTTTTTTTTTACAGCCTACTGTCTCTAAAGCTTTCTCCTTAATTGATAACGGCTGTGGCTTTCCCAATTCGTTGATTCCTCATTCCTGAGGCAGGAGACAGGCTCATGCCCAAATGATTGACATGTTTTCCACTGATGGAGCCAAATATGATTCGCAGCCTTCCTCCAGCGCTCTTCCCAGCATTTTGCTTTAAGCTCTGAAGGGAAGTGAAATTGAAGAGGGTTTTCAGGGATAAGGGCGGAGTGAGAAAACGGGTGAATTTTGAGCTAGAGAAACGCGTTCAAGAAGTGAAGTCAAAATACCCATTTAGAGTGAAATTGATTTTACAGATCTGGATCAAAGTAGTAATTTATTTCTATTCTGTCATGCTAACGAAAGTCTACATTTGTCCGTCCAAATCTACATGAAAAAAAAAAAAAAAAACGACCTAGAATTCTGGAATGGAAAGTCTGGAATTTTTAGTAAAGTGTGTAAACAAGTAGTTTGAGGCTAAATTGGCACCAGGGTGCATTAATAAGGATATTATCAGCTTTGTCCATTTCTATCACCCCCTCAAACCTTTTCAAGGTGTTTTATAATGCATTACTGCCCAATAGATAAAAGAAGTCACAGACTAGATCCAATTGTCATTAGATTCACACTTGCTTACATCAAGCTATGCCTCGTCTACCTGAAGAAAAATTACAGGGGGGACATGTACATTTTTTTTATCAAGCCATAGCTGGCATACTTTCTTTGCCTCATTGTGTCTTTGCCTATCTTGGAAATGACAAAGGAAAAATGAGGCAGCCGGCCTCCTCACGCGCTGCCACACTTTAAATTGACATCTGCTCTCATGGTGCAGCTCGACTGTACTGTTGAGCGAGAAATTCGTTTTTTTATAGAACGGCTCGTCACTTTATTGCATCTGCTTGTGCCAAAGAGGCCACGATCTGCGTCAAGTTGTTTTAATCTCACAGAGTGGAGAGTAGGGGTATATCTGATAATTGCAGCTAAGGCCTATCTGTCTGCAGTTTTTTTGTTTTTTGCTGAAGTGCCTCATTCTGCAGAGCTCCCCTGATGTTTGCTTCAAGCAATGGTAGAGTTGATTAAAATACTGCTGAAGTCAACTTTGGACACCTATATGGAGCACTCTTCTACCTTTCTGTTCATTTTTTTTTTGTACGTTTGTTTGTTTGTTTCCAAATGGGGACTAAGATGGAGAAGGCTCTTCCTGAAGCTTTTATCTTTGTGCCAGCTGAGCTATGGTTTGATACTGCCTGGACCAACCCTGCTGCTTTGTCTGCTCTCTTCCACTCTGGCCTGTTATTTACAGTCTCCAGCAGAGTGACTAATGATAATGAGCACTGCAAAGATTACTCTTACAGAAATGTTTTATTACTACTGTTATTTCCACTCTGCTTTCTTTTCAAAGTTGACACAGAGTTTTCCTAATTTGTTTTCATCAAAAGGAAAACTACTGATCTAAATTTCAGAACTTGCTGGACTTAAGAGTCACATAGTGGCAGATCTGTGCAGCTGATTACGTATAAACTGCTTGCTTTGCTCCATATGTGACTCATCAGACACACAGGAAGTGGAAAGTGAGTTATCGGCAGTCTTTCCTTGAACTTTTGCTGTGCTGTGATCCTTAATGATCTATATTTGGTGCTGAGATCCCAAACGGTGGATTCTGTTAGGGAGAGTTGTTGGTGTAAATTGAGTTTACAAGTTTTAAACTGGAATGATTTAGTTTAATGTCCAGATTTGCACTGTTAACATTAGGCTAAAACTGTTATCAGCTAGTAGTTAGAAATATTAGTATTTTTATAGCTGCCTACCCACTGAAATTAGGGGGTTAATGCGTGAAACACAGTTTCCTCTAAGAATCGGCATTTGGCTTCTTTCTCACTGGCTAAAAAGCTGGGTCTAATCCCTGCTAGCAAGCTGCATGGCCTCTGTCCCCCTCACTACTGTGTGTCCTGTGGCACCATCACTCCGGGTTAGAGTTGATGTCATCAGTGCGACAGAAATCAGGAAAGTAAACAATGTACCAAAATAGAAGGAAGACATGGCGTAGTAAGTGTGCTTTAAGTTTAGGCTCTTTTGTCCCTCCGAATCTTTCTGACCTGTGGTAAACCATGTTTGTCGAATGCAAACAGAGTTATTTTCGACTGCCATATCAGACACAGCTGGCGAGGTGTGTCGGCGTACGTACATTACGTTCAATGGAATCGCGTAAATAACAGGTCAACCCAGGTCTGGCGCTCCCACTCTATGCCGATCGGAGCCGAACTATTTTAATCTATGTCACTAACCTGCTTTTTTTGCAAGTTAGAAAAGGTTTTTTGGCCAGTGGGAGTTTTCAATGCTTAGTTCTCAATGAGCTCATGTCAGGCTGCATGACTAGCTGGATTCACCTTTTACAACTTGCTTTTGAAAACTCCGTCCAGGAAGACTTCATTTAGATGAAATAAAAGCATAAGGTACAAACATGAATGGCATTTTGTTATTATTGCCAGTTACCTCTGACTGTACAGAAAAAGACTTCCTTGGTGCAAGAAGGTCCTTGTTTAGAACTCGGATATTCTAACCAAGATTCTAACCTTTTGTGTTTTTCATGCTTTTGCGTGTTCTTCCTATAGTTGTAATAGTTCTCTGAGGGTTCTCTTGCTTTCTCCCATAGCTCCAAAACCATCACTGTAAGGTAAAATAACCATTCAAAAAAGTCTCCTACTGTATAGGCTTGTGCGTGCAATGTTGTTCTTGATCTGTGTATTTCTGCATTGCCCTCTGATGGACTCACAACCTGTTCAGGGTGTGTACAGCCCCAACTATAAACAAATGGGTTTAGACAATGGATAAATGGAGATTTAGAGTATTAACATCCGTCAGTCCTCTCTGTACTTTCTCTATAACATTCCCATACCAAGAAGAAATGCTCCCCGTTTCCCTTTAAAACGGTACATTTTATTTCTGCACAGAGCTCTGACAATATGGTTTAGTGTGCACTGAGTAAACTATTAAGTGAAATAAATGTTTGCCAAACCTCTGCTCTTCAGTTTTCCATGTTAGCTTTGTAGAGCAGACTGGGACTATAGCGGGGAAGGGAACGGAGCCAGACGCATTACAACATGGGCAGTTTTCAGACTGACAATAAGTGTTTGAAAGAAAAAAACAAGACCATTTGCAGGGTTATTATAAGCACTTAAGATAAGACGTATATATTAGCGCCATGTTTAGGAGTAGATCAATACTGTAAGTGTAAGACACTAAAAAGCTTAAGTAAAACATTCATGGCTGAAATAAGTGATGAAATTATTTTGTTCTTTTTTATTTGATGTACTTAATGCATTTTCCTGGATTCACACAGCCAATGCAACAGATTATCATACATCACAACACATTTTTGGCATCCATGCACCTGTGGTGCATTGTACAAGCCCGCCAGAGCTACATGTGTAATTTCAATATGGAAAAAAACGTGTTAATGGCATGATTGTGTTACAGTACAAACCATGACAGGAAACGCTTTAGGCAGACCAAGGATAAATTGCTCGCTGTCAGTGCTACTACAGTTCCCAGTAGCGTTTATTCCTAGAACAAATTTCCAAACGCAGCAATGTAACACTGAAAGTTATGAAATATTAGTAGGTTTAATGTTGTGAGTCCATATCTCATGGCTATACTAAAATAGTGTGTATAGAGCTTTAAATAATGACTCCTGGCTCCCCCACATTCTTTCATTGCTAACGCATTTGCCTTCCAGACTTGATTTATATATATTTTACCAAGGCAAATGTCAATTTGGTGCATTAACTCATTTAGACTGTGCAATCATAAGGATTGTTTTGGCCTCTCTTCTTCCTTGATGCTTAATCAATAACAAATATTTCAGACTCTAACATATTTTTTCTTTTTTGCCTTTCAGGGCTCCTACCTTGTGCCTCTTTGGATGACGTTCCCGATGACTGCTCACAACTCTGAAAACCGGACAGTGGACCAATAGGAGTTTTGATTCCCCTTCCCTGCTCCTTCTCCCTCCCTTAAGCTCTCCTTTCTTATTCTTTAATAGTGGAGGAGGCAAAGACCTAAATCCTGACTTGGATCTAGGTAGCAGAGATTGTTCTCCTTCTCCTTCTTCCTTTCTCCTCCCCCACCCCCCAAGGCCTTGCCTCTGGGCACTTCAGAAATGTGTCCTCTCTCTCGGACTTTAGCCTTCCCTGGCCAGGGGAACTTGCTCCTCCTGTTGGGGGTTATACTCCTCATGGTCCCGTCACTCTCTGGAGGTCAACCCCCAACCTTCAAACGCTTTGCCCCCCCTGACAGTTTTCTTACACATCTGGCAATCCACAACAAAACTGGAGAGGTCTATGTGGGAGCCTTCAACTGGATTTTTAAGCTGTCCAGCAACCTGACTAAACTGCGCAGCCACATGACCGGGCCAGTGTTGGACAATGAAAAATGCTACCCTCCACCCAGTGTCCAGTCTTGTCCTTATGACCTTGCCCAAACCCCCAACGTGAACAAGCTGCTTCTTATAGACTATGCCCAAAACCGCCTCATCGCCTGCGGCAGCACCTCACAGGGCATCTGTCAGTTTTTACGTCTAGATGATCTCTTTAAGCTCGGTGAGCCTCACCACCGTAAGGAACACTACCTCTCCAGTGTGGCAGAGTCGGGGACCATGTCGGGAGTCATCATAAGCTCTCCCCAAAACCCTACTAGCAAGCTGTTTATTGGAACCCCCATTGATGGAAAATCGGAGTACTTCCCAACACTGTCCAGTCGCAAACTGATGAAGAATGAAGAAGATGCAGACATGTTCAGCTTTGTGTATCAGGATGAGTTTGTCTCCTCTCAGCTAAAAATCCCCTCGGACACTCTATCCAAGTTTCCTGCTTTTGACATCTATTATGTGTACAGCTTCAGTAGTGAACAGTTCGTCTACTATCTAACAATGCAGCTAGACACCAAACTGACCTCAACCGACGGCAGTGGGGAGCAGTTCTTCACCTCCAAAATTGTCCGCCTTTGCATGGACGACCCCAAGTTTTACTCTTATGTTGAGTTCCCCATCGGATGCACCAAAGACGGGATAGAGTACCGCCTGCTGCAGGACGCTTTTCTGGCTCGACCAGGCCGGCAGCTTGCCAATTCTTTGGGGATTTCTGAGAATGAAGACATTCTCTTTACGGTTTTCTCTCAGGGTCAGAAAAATCGGGAAAAGCCACCCAAAGAATCTGCAATGTGCCTGTTTACCCTGAGGAAGATAAAGGAGAAGATCAAAGAACGTATTCAGTCCTGCTACAGAGGAGAAGGGAAGCTCTCTTTACCCTGGCTGCTTAATAAGGAGCTCGAGTGCATCAACTCGGTAAGCTCACATTTTTGCCTACAGGTTTTTTTTGTTGACTAGATTAGGACAGGAATTCTGTTCTGACAATGCAAATAAAACTATTAGCATTGATAACACAGATGTAGTAATTGAAACAGTGAGGGGAAAAAATGTGATTCCTGATGCTAAATCTGATTTGCAGTTGTTAAAAACCAACAGTCTCTTGCTAATCTTGTTGATATAGACCAACCATGCAGGAATTTATAGTATTAAGCCCACAAAGCCGTTGCTGCCAATCTCCTGCTGTCTCCCTTTTTTCTGTTTTTCCTTTCCTTCTTCCTCTTTCCCCCAATAAACTCTTAGAGCGTTGATTCAGTCAGACAGGGGACGTCATTAGCCCAGTCCCCTGGATTTGTAAAATGTCATTCAGTAGAAGCGCCCAGGCACATCCACACTCATCCAAACAGCATGATTCAGTGCACTGCAGTCTAAGATCCTTAGAGGGAGTGCAAGTTGGCCTGTTTTTTTTGTTGTTGTTTTTTTATTAACTGATCCAGAAAGCATGGCCTTGCCTAGTAATACAGAAAACAGCCTAAACATATATAAGCATTAAGTCCTACTGTCTAGTGACATTTCCCAGTGTGTAGTTTGAAAACAGTTTATGCATTCTCTTGAAGAACCAGAACCAGTTAAAGCGTTCCCTGTCAGTTACAATACAGGCGTAAATCGCAACTCAACAAGACTTTTAATTAGTTAGTCTTGGAAAACACTCATCTCTTGTGTGAGCTGAGCAAAGGTTTGGTTTCTTCTGATTAAAGTCTGTTTTTTAGTTGCCATGACCTGGGTGACTAAGAATTTGCTCAGGCATCTTCCTGTCAGTCAACAGATTTCTAATTACAGACATCTTAACACAAATGCACACAAAGCTTTCAGCATCTTCTGGAGTAGAATATTTGAAAGAAGTTATTTGTTTGTCTAGATTAGCATAGAGCCACGTGGGGGCATAGATGCTTCTTTTTAAGCTTCAACTGCTTTCTTCTTGCCTTTTTATGTTCATGTTTTTCTTCTCTCTTTGTTGCTTTGATTGTATAGTTTCCATTGTATCTATGTTAAAGGCTATAAAACAGAGGATCTCCTTCATTTTTATTTGATGAAGCAGAGCTGTTGCTGCTTATAGCCAATATGCTATAAGCATATTGGCTATAAGCCTCCTTCTTTGTGGTATGATGCAACTAATGGATAACTCAGAGACACAAGGATAAGAATTTAGTGGCTAAGCTTTTTTTCCCCTAAAGCTTTTCTTCTTAGTACTAATTTTCGCTAATTCTTTAAGCAAATACTTCAATATACTTTTATTATAAACAAACTATAAAATAAAAAAGGAAAAAAATAATAATTTAGGCTATATTTTGTATTTATATTTGTGATAATGGCAGTTAGTATTACCTGTAAAGGCAGGCAATGAGTCTGCTGATTTATTGAATACTGCCTTGATAGGTAAATAAGGGATTCCAAGAGTCTATTGCCATTTGTTTTAATTTTACTGCACCCAACAGTGTTGTGGCAAAGCAATAGTACAACCTCAGGTGTTTCCAATAATGATGATTATGTCTTTGTTTGGGTCTTGTGACTAAATGAGCAGCCAGTAAGTGAGCTCCCAAAAAGTCAACCTTCCAAAACTCTTAGTATTCCAAATTAGTTCTCAATCACTCTCATGACATGTATAGATATCTCCAACCTCTTTAATCTGTTTTACAGGTTTAAGGATTAAGGCATTTTGTATGTAAAACTGCTTAAAAAAATAAAAGTTTATTTTTATTAGATTTTGTTCACTCGTTAAATGATGTCTTTGTTCACACGTTATGCCACCAACTGAACTGGTTCTCTGCCACTAAGTTATTGAACCATTTACAAATACATTCATTAAATGCATATGTCTGTCTCTTCCTTTATTCTCTTATCCCTTTCTCCATGGCTTGTTACCATGGTTTCTGTGCCTTCGTTAAGGATTACAGCCACCGACAATTTATCACTCGGACATCCTCTTAAAACCTGCTGTTCCTTCAAAACTGTCATCAATGACGATATAAAGGCTTCACAAAAGAGCTGACTGGCTGACCCCAAGACAGCAGCAGGACCTAAGAGGTCAGCATCAGGTTAATGATGTCTGTTCCAGTGTCCCTTAAAACTGACCTGAAGTCAGCGGCCCAACGCTGACCTAAACCTCAGCCCCAAAGGAGCTCCAGTCTGAGATCATGTTTAGTGTGGGAACAGAGACTGTGCAAAACAACTAAACAAGGACTCAAAACAAAAACAGAATGAAACAAACAGCCAAAGATAGTGGGTACATTAGTTCATAAATGCATCAAAATTCTTATGAGTGTAACCAAAATGCAGCAGTGTTGCAGCATTCCTAATTTGTCAAATTTTCTTTTTCCCTTAGTTTTTTGTTTTAAATTATAAATCAAGGTTCAATATAAACATATATTAATAAAAGTTTAATCATCTTCCACAAAAGTTCTAGATGTTTAAAAGGGCATAAAAGTTGGTTTTAATAATTTCTTTCAGATGTGAGTTTCCTTCATGGATTTAATTAATTTTTATAACCTTGGTAGTAATACACTGAAATGCTGCATGCACTAAGCTCAGCTTATCCCAAAATGTATTAAAGGGACAGATGGAAAACACACATTAAATAGTGTCAAGGGCGCAATGCTGGTGACTTTCTATACACTTTATGGAGCCATTCATGCTGTGTAGCAATGTTATGTTGTTGGTATGACCAAATGGAAAGTCCAGCATTTTACATTTTTAAAGCTTGGACATGTAACTTCAAGTTTCTGCTGGGAAAAAAATATAGTATTGTTTAAATGTTTTTCTTTAGTTATTAGGAGCAAAGGTGACCCCATAGTGTCAGAAAAACTGTACCATGAAAGCATTTTTTTTTTCTTTTACAGTTGCACATTTCAGATGGCTTTTAGTACCTTTTAATAATTTTTTAGCACAGGTAACATCTGTAACTGTAAACATTACACCATTACCTTAACTCTCAGAAAAGAATGGTAACATTTCTAAATCCTTCTCTAGGATGAAACTGCTAAATTTAACTAAAAAAATACCAAACTGTGTATGTGAACTGTGAAAGTACCAATTTGAAAGAACCAGCTGGAGCACTTATTTGAAAACCAACATGTAATGTGAATCTTTACTTCAGAGCTGATGTTGGAGCAGGTTGTCGTGGTCTACCTTTGGACTCTCAAATTAAAACGACTAAAGTGGCCTGCATGGCATGAAGCAGAGTTCCCTGCTGAGCAACCAGAGGAATTTGGAGGGCTGTTCCACATATGGTTGACCTTACCATGCTGCAGAGGAGAGGTTAAGGCAGGGCTGGTTAGTGGGTGGTGGGCTGGACAGGCATGGACAGCTGTTTACCGCTCAGCCATGACTGATCACCAGGAGCTCCGACAGCCTCCTGTGTGAGGTGTAGATTTGCATTGGAAAATAATTTCTTGCCTCTGGTCATCATCAAGCTTGTGTTTTGTTTACTGACATCTCATCTTTTCTTAGTAAACACAAATCTTCAGGCGCATTAGATTGGTTGCTGATAAAACATGTCTTTCTCAACAAACCACCGACACTCATGTCGAACGTTTAGCACCTTAGCTCTGCTACCAGGCTATATTTGTCTCCTGCTGGTGTGTGATATTGTGTGTGTCTTATTTTGTCCCTGAGCTTTATTAGTGAACCCCTGACCTTCTCCCCCGTTTGAGAGTAGATCAATACAAACCATTTCCACAAAAGGAGAATGAGAGGGTGGAGGAGAGTCGCTAAGTTAGGAGTGAGAGAAGGAGAGACATGACGGAAAACATAGGAGGGAGTGCAATGGGTAGGGTAGCAGAAGAGGGACTGAATAGAGGTGCAAGCATGAAAGGATGAACCAGAATTTTGCAGAAACTAAACAAGTGAGGCTGCCAGAACTGGAAAGGAGAGAAAGGTGTGAGATGTGGGTGGAGATAAAAATGTATGAACCAGAGAGTTGGATGCCAGAGAAGCCCGCATAAGAGAGTACAGGAATTTGAAGGATAGCTATCAGGATATGAGTGGGAATACATGTGGGAAAGCTGTGTGGAAAAAAAAAAAAAAATCCAAATCAGTCCTGTAAGAACTAGCTGACTTACTTGTGTTGATATTGGATGGCAATAAGCCGATTTTAAGGTTTGAACTTGATGGTAAATTGAGTTTCCTTCAAAGTTATGTTAAAGCATCATTGACCCTCATCGACACTCAGTTTTATTTCACCATATCTGGTTTATTTCATGTTGAGATCATTTTAAAGCTCTGACTTGTTCAGATGTCTAAGGAATAACAAGAAATAAACAGCATAAAGTTAAGGTTTTTTTCGTGCACTGGAACTTGTATGTAAACAATAAAACCCTCCTGGTAGGGCAGGGCGATGGGGCTAAAAATTTTAATCTTGGACGATTATGATTTTAATCGATTTTAATTGAAGTGTTAAAAACGACATGCATGTATTTTAAAAGAAGTTTAATTTTTCAAAAATATATTGTGCAAAGTAAGAAATATCTAGCCAACAATAAACATATTGTAAAAAAGCTTTTAGTGTCGTTGTGTCTTGGGCAAGACTGACTTGAAAAAGCACTCTATAAGTACAGGCCATTTACCATTTAGACAAATCATTTTTGTTCTTACTGTAGGGACATTTAAGGTGCGGTTGGCAAACAGTCATGATCAGAAATGATGTTACCGTGTTTTTGAGAGCAGTCTATCTAACACAGTCCTCATTTGAGGTTATATTAGATCATTCTTTAGGTTAATATTTAGCACATGTGTGCATTAATGCTTGAAGGGGGGCTGCTCTTTCCAAAAACTGGGTCTGTCACTGAATGGGTCATGTGACCCAGAGCGCCACTTAAAGGCAGTAATCTCTTTAAAACCAGAGCTAAATAAGCTAAAAGTTATTGTAAGGCAACAAAGCAGATTACCGGATCAGACATATTTTTGTTTCTCTGATGTAGGAT